TAATTATGTTATAAAATTTCAAAATATTATAACTAATTATTAATTGTAAAATGCATCCCACCATAATTTACACTATTTTCATTTTTGTCTGTCCGTAATAATTGAAACATTTTTATTTTTTGGTAAAAATTATTAAATAAAAACATATTTAACAAATATAAATCAACTTAATTAACTACATAACATATAACATCATAAATGACGTATGACCCACTCAAAACCCCTTTATTTCTATAAAAATAAATATTTTTATCTATATTTAAAAATACACATCTTTTATAAAATTTATTTATGTTAATTATAAATAAAAAAATATTTTTGTATTTACTTATATTAGTTTTTTGACAGGTCAAATAACTAAAGAGTGTTAATAAACTAAAAGCTCTGTTTCCCAAACACCCTCTTAAACTGAAATCATTTTATGGAAACGGGCGTCTATGGTTTAGGCTTAGCTTTTTTTATTTTCAATCTCACTTCCAGCCACTAACATTTCTGGTCTCTCCAAGTAATGTAAGTGACTTAAAATTTGCATCACGTTTTAAGTTAAATGTTGAAGTTGTTTTACTTTGATTTTGTTGCAATCGAACTTGTTTACTTATTTTACATGTGTATGTATATGTTTTATATGAAATTATTTTTATTGTACACACCGGCGCAGCATCGCGCGCGCCGGGTTCTAGTATATATATATATGAAAAATTATGTTAATAATATAAAAAATAATATATTGTATTAACCGGTTAGCTTTTGTAAACTGATACTCTCTCTGTTCCATGTAATATGGGTATATTACTGTAGACACGAGAATTTAGGTAAAGTATAATTAGTAAGTAATTAAGAAGTGTATTAGTAAAAATAATTATAGATTAAAATTAAGATAAGTAAATAGTTTAATTAAAATTAATAAAATTGTAAAATTTAAAATTTAAATGCGATTAAAGTACATAATAATATTTCCAAAAAATAGAAATGACAAGTTATGTGGGACAGACAAAAATAGAAAGTATGGACAAATTATGTGGAACGGAGGGAGTATAATATATAATATTAATGTATAATATATTGTATTTAATGATAATACTCTCTCCGTCCAGCTACAAAGTATACATATTTTTATTTTGGGACGTACAACTACAAAGTAATCATTTCATTAAATACCCTCATTTTTTTTCACAAATATCCTTACTTTACATCACATCATTACTTTTATAAAAAAAGAAAGGGCAAAAATATCATTGCACTATTTTTACCTACCCGCTATAATTAAAATACTATTATTTTTTAAACTCGGCCCAAAAGTAAATGTTTACTTATTGCTTGGACGGAGGGAGTATAAATTAATTTCTTACACGTAGAAGACTAATTCAAAACCCCTTTAAATCAACAATTCTTCTCTGTAAATAAATATTTTTATTTATATTTAAAATTTTTATTTTTTTATAAAATTAGTTTTAAGTTAACTGTAAAATGATATATATTTTTTATTTATTCATATTATTTCAAAAAAATTTATTATTTACAAAATAATATTTATATTGTATATATTTTATTGTAATATAATGCTAAAATTTTTAAAAATATCAATAAATACTATTCATACAAAATGCTAAAATAATATTACTAAAGGAGTACTATATTTGAAAATATGAGTATATTGTTTAAAGAATATGGAAACTTGGCACAAATAATAGAGTAGATTTTTTAAAATATTTTATCAATAATGAGATTTACAAGCAAACAATAGGTTTATTTTTATTGACAGTTGATAAAAAATATGGATAAAAGATCTTTTTGTCCCTATGAGTGTATTAATGTAAGAAATAATGGCAATTATGTAATAAAAATAAAAAAATAGGAGTAATTTTATGATGATACGATTATTTATGAAACTAAGACTATTGTTTTGAGACGGACAAAAATAATAAACGAGACTATTGTATGGAGACGAATAGAGTATTTATTTATTTATATCATAAAAACATAAGAAAATGCAAACAAACAGGCCCATGATATGCACAAGTGCCACGCATGGTTTGCATTTCGAAATATGTTTTAGTATATCGTCGCCGCATTTCGGATAAATATCAGTCAAGTATTGACTATATAAAATCTTTAAAGAAGGGACACAAATAATATAAATAATTAATATATATATATTATAATCATTATAATTTATTTTTATAATATAAAACAAAATATATCTATTATAATTAATATTACAGAAAATGGGTAGGTTCATTTTATATTTTTAAATAAATATATTTTTTATGCTAAATATAAAAAGTTGTATTGATAATATAAAAAATTACTCTATTTTATGTTAAATTATTAATTTTTTATAATTTAATAATATGTATATATATTTTATCATATAAAATAATATTTATGGGAATAATCTTACAAAACAATGTTGAGGTAGTCTCGAACTCATAAATTTTATTTATACAATTGTAACTAAAAAAATACAATTGTTACAATATTTTTACTTAAATTATAACTCTATTTTTCACAATATTCTTCGAATATTTTAATTTTTTTTTATATTTATAATTTACAATAATTTTAAATTTTTTAAAAAAATAACAAGATAAAAATAACAATCAATTTATTATTAACGCAATTATTATGCTTAAAACTAATTTTATATATTATTTCAAACAAACGTTAATACTAATATTAACATAATTATATATTAAGTCATACCATCATTCCAATTCACAAATTTAATTATTCAAATTCCAATTTAAAATTCAAACGTTCAAACAAACACACAAACTATTTTTTTTTTTGTTTTTTAAAATAACAATAGTTTATTGATTATTTTTATTTTTTTTAATTATATTATTTGTGGAATTTTTTTATTTAAAGATAAATTATACTATCTCCGTACAACCAGAAAATATAAATATTTCTATTTTGACTTCAAATTACTCCCTCCGTCCGTGTATAAGGTCTCATTTATTTTTTGTGTTATTGTATTTAATATTTAAGATATTTTTATATTTGTATAATTTTTTATATAAATATCATATAATAATATTATAAAATACTAATAAAAATATGAAAACAAATAGATAAATAACTGAGACCCTTACAACCGGTAGTAATATTTTTATTATACTATATAATTATAAATATACATTAAGCCCATATCCAAATTTTCTTATGCTGGCTGGCCCAGTCAGCTTCAAAATCATGACAGGCTGGGCCTGGCCCGAGTTTAGACTGGGCTTTGAAACATAGACCTTGGGCCGATTTCAAACTGAGCCAATCTAATTTTTTAAAAACTTTTAAATTTGATTATATTTTGTGAACATTTTTTTATATAAAAATAAAATTTATTAATATAAATAAATACAAGTGTAATAAAATAATATCTCTATTGATAATTAAAATTTGAACATTAAATATATAATTATTTTTGAATCTTATTATATATTTAAGAAATGTTTAAATTTGAATTGTTTGATAAATTGGGCATATTTGAATGATAATTTTCTTTTGAAATAACACAAATTTGACATTATTTTAAAATTATAAAATTTTATTTTCAATAACCTTCAAAAAAATTTTAATAATAATCATAGTTAATTGCCTCCAAATTTGACATTATCTTAAAATTTATTTAATCAATGAACTAAATTTCAAGCCAAGATTAATTAATTATGAACACTAGGAGTTGTTTGTGGCGTGCGCACAAAACTCGAGATCTAAAACTTAGGCTCTGATACTATGTCGGATACTTATGACCGTCTCATCTAAAAGCTCAAACTGTTAGAAAAATTTAGCCATTATTCATATATCCGCAAATGAAAGTTCAACAGATTTTAGAATAATTAATTTTTTTCATTTGAAGTATATATTCAAGACGTTCTTTGAAAATAGTGTATTGTTCTGTGTGTTTATTTTTAAATTCTTAAAAGACTCAAATAGTTCGATTTGAATCACACTAGGTTTGTTTTGGTATCGGTAGGTTCTTATTTGAATTTTGATTTAAATATTATTTTAATATAATATTTTGAGAAATTTGGGATGTGGTTTAATCCCTAAAACACTCGAATAGTTTTCTATTAGAATTTATTACTATTATTATTATTATTATTTTAACATTACAATAGATTAGGGATGTCATTGGTTACTGATTGGATTTTAATTTGGAAGTTGTATTAAAGTTATTTATTTAATTATTATTTGATTTATGATATAATATATATGAGTGTGTTATTATTTGAATCCCTAAATGATTGATTTTTTCTCTTTATTGTGGATATAATATATTTATTTCGGTTCAACTCAAAGTATCATTTTTATTATTTTGGTCCGTCCAATTCAAAATTATCACTTTCCTATTTTTATTTAAATTACAAAAATCAGTAAAAATAATCGTACATTAATACCAAAATACTCTTAATTTTTAGTTAAATTATAAATATATCATTATACATACAATTATTTTATATATAAAATCAAACGACAAAAATATCAAAATTTCTTACAAACTTCTACTCACCAATAAAATATTATTATTTCATAATTTATTAAAAAACTCATGTTAGACTTGTGAGAGAACTCACAACAATAATTCTTTGAATGTACATCAAATTATTGGGTGCAAACCCAACTTCTATATTAGAAGATTAGAAGAAAATTTAACACCTTATAAGTCACAGAAATTCCACTAGTATGAACCTTTTGGAGTAAGTTCAAAAATAAATCCGTACGGATTCTGTTCAAAATGGACAATATCATACTAATATTGAGTCGGTTGTATCAGAGCTTGGTTCGACGGTAAAGTGGACTGGACGGAGGCAGCGGATCCTTTGTGATAAGCGATACAAAGGTGGACAGGGAAGACCATTATGATCAAACTATCTCATATCGGGTTTTTGTGTGACAAAAAAATACTAGTAACATGTTACCAAAATAAATCAATATTTTTATTAATCACTTCCAACATAATCACTAACATACATAAACTTTCCAACAATTTTGGTGGCCCTTTCTTTTGTTTTGAGCTTTGATGTATAAGAAAATGATCGAAGATTTCAAACTATATATACATGTAACAAAATTACAACATTCAAATACTAACTATGTTTAGTATTTGATTCAAATTCAAATTTATTATCATTTCTCTTTTAAGTTTGAAATATTTTTTATCGTTAAATTTTAATTTCGAAATCAAAATCTTGAACTATTCCTCCACGCTTACTCCTACTTCCAACAACTTCTCGGAAACACACCTCCGATGCTCGATCCTAACGCATTTTCGCAATACGCAATCGCGGGCCTCTTTAGTTTATCGACATAGCTCAACTTAATGTCTTGAAGTTTGATTCCACGGCACGGATTGGTCCGGCTACACCGGAATGTCATTGCCACTTGCGTCGCGGATGTCCCCTTAATGTTCTTGTAAGTCACGTCGCTCACTCGCACTCCTGAACTCTACGGAGGGCGAGTTATGTGCTATATGATGTCAGTGATGGGTTGGTGGATAACTGTCTCATCTAAAAATGTTTATAATGATGAAATAATTGTGTACCTGATGAGGACAACGGTTGTCGGGGCAATATTGTTGGTCTATGATGATGGGATTGGCGACGTACCTCATAACGAGATTTTTGAACACAAGGTTCCTTGCATAGCCTCCGCTTGGCCTCGCCCACGACTTCACTCTGACACCGTTTTGTGTCCTTGTGAACATTGAATTTGTGACCGTCACGTTTTGCACCCCGGCTTCGTTAAAACCGTTGCCTAGGCTTCCTACACTGTTGATCGGAAATTATTCAGAATTTAAAGAGTGTGTTTTATTTTAGTTTTTTAAATTTCAAATTAAAGGAAATATTATTCGACTTGTAATTTTATTTCATGAAGATAAAATTGAAATGTTATTTAAACTACACTACAAATAAGAAATTTGAAATAATACTCTTTTAAGTACTTTTATTATATTATGGTAACTTAATTTTTGATCATATAGCAAGGAGAATATATTATAATTACAATATATTTACATAATTAGTGGTTAAATAACCTTAAATTGATTTGTTTTTTTTTTTTTTTTTGTACATCGATTGTAATTTATTTCTATTATAAAAATGATAACTTACTTATCATGTGTTGACACGACCGAAGAATTTAATTTTCTTCTATTATACTAACTCAACGCATGTGACCGTACCTATTTTCAATATAATAATAATAATAATAATAAATCTGAACTCGATAAGTTGACTAAATTCAAATTGACTTTCTATAAATATATATATATATATATAATTCAAATATTAGAGTGCATATTTGTACTGAACTGATCAATATATATAATGAAGAAAAATATCGTGTACTTATATCTTAGTCATTAATGAAACAAGGCTAACCTGTTTTTCTTTCAATTGGCTTGATAAAAAATTTAGTATTAAAATAATATTCGATAGAATATTTTGTATGTATTTTTTTTTTTTTTTTTGAGAAATGCCTAATTGAAATAATAAAAAATCGATAAATCAAAAGAAACAGATTATAGTTTTTAGGAATTAAAGGTGAAAACTAACTATCACCATGCTAAATTTAGTATATTCAATATGAAATCTGTTCTGTTTTTATACAGCAACATATAGTTGTATTATATATGTTCTGCAGTTTTATACTTGTACTGTGCCGTATAAATATGATTTGACATAATTAATAATATATTATATTATACAGAATTATAATGTGCTGTCAAAATATTGTACCTTACATTAAAGATATCTTTATATTTATATAATTTTTTTGCACAAACGTGATTATAATAATATTATACTGACACTAATAGAAATATTTTTGATATTTTTTATTAATTTGTACTATATTTTTATATAATAATTAATATTTAAAAATCAATACGCAAAGTAAATGAGACCCTTACAGTCGAACTATATAATTTTTCAAAAATGTAAGAAATTATAGCTTAGGTTGAAGAGACAGTAGGTACCTGATGCCATGGCCAGGGCCGCATCCGATTCGTTCCAACCAGACGTTCATCCCTCCCTGCCCGATCGATATGCAGTCGTCTCCGGTCTTGATGCTGCTCCCGATCACCGTCACCCCCCGCGACGACTCCACGTGGACGCCGTCCGTGTTCGGGCTGCCCGCCGGCGCCACAATTCTCAGATTCTGCAGCCTCATGTTGCTGCATTCATTAATGGCGATGTGCACAGTCTGGCTGTTCAGAGAAGATAGTCCACTCACCACCACGTTGCTGCACCACTGGAACGAAATCGACTGCACCAACATCAAATCGACATCAAATCGAATCAAAACCCTAATTCAATTCAACAATTCAAGCATCAATGGTGTCAAATTGGGGGAGGAGCAAACCCTAGCCCCAGGGGGGCAATGGTTGTTTCCGTTCTTCCGGCACGACCAGAACCGCTGGCCCTTGGCGTCGACGGTGCCGCCGACGACAGTTAGGCGGGTGACCTTGTAGAAGAGGATCCAGAATTCGGATTTTCCGATGGCGTTGTAGTCGTCGGGGGCGACGATGGTGCCGGATATTTGGAAGAGGATTCTGTTCCGGCACGGTCCGGTGAAGGACACCGGCCGGAGCAGGAACGTGCCTTTGGGTACCGACACGGTCGACGACACGGCCGTGTTGCACGCGGCCTTCCACGCCGCCTGGAAGGCCGCCGTCGAGTCGGTCCTCCCGTCACCTTTCGCCCCGAACTGGACCACGCTGTAACCTGCCGTCGCCGGAAAATGTACGGCGGCGGCGATAACGCCGGCTAGGAAGAAGATCAGTTTCCGATTGCCCATATAGAAAGAAGAATTCTTACAATTCTTACAAAGTACAGTTTTTAGATTACACACACATATATATATATATAAATATGTATGTATGTCTCCAAGAGGGTTTTAGGTTTAGATCTCGAATTGTGAGATGAATTCTTGGGATCAGAAATGGGATTTAGTTATTCAAATATAAAATTATACTAATTGTTAAATTAAACCGACCATGTGAATGATCAAGAAAGAATCTTGGGGGGCTTGATCTGATTATCATGTAATAATAATCTCTTCCAATTTAATTAAATAATCAAATAAGAAGATAGAAATTAAAGAAGATAATCTATCTATCTATCTATCTATCTATCAAGACAAGATTATCACAAAGTGGGTGTTGTCCAAATAGATAGATAAGTTAATGTTAGTTTGTGTGAAGAAGGAAAGATTTTGGATTGGGAGGAAACTCGATCGAAAGAATCCAATCGAAGGCAGAAAGTGGCAAGAATGCAAATTCAAGACAACTTCATAAAAGTAAAAATATAATAATAATAATTAAATATTCATATATCATAAATCATGTGAAAGAGAATTGGGGGTGTAATATAAAATAAAGAAATTAATTTATTAATTAATTAAAAAAAAAAAAAGCAAAAATGATGTATGGAGACATGAGGAGAAGTGCTTGTGGAGGGTGCACGACAACGTGAGGCCTAATGTGGGGCTTCCGACAAGGCTGCCGGGACTTCTCTTCTCTTATATTACTTAATGTAGTTTTCAATTCTTTGTTTATATGTACATTAAAAGAAGTTTAAGTACTATTAATTAATTAATTAATAATAATAATATATTTTTTTAAATAATATTAGATGTGATATGAATATATACTTGATCTGGGGTTTGAAATGTAAAACTAAAATTCTAGTATAATACTCCATCCGTCTCATAAATATAGTCTTAACTGGGTTGGACACGAGATTTGAAGAATATTGATATTACGTTGGTAGTTGGTAAAAAGTATGAATAAAAGATTTTTTTTACTCTTATGAGTATATTAGAATATAAAGCAGTGGCAAAAATGAAAAAGTATGGGTAGTTTTACGGTGATATGGTTATTTATGGAAATAAGACTATTGTTTTTGAACAGATAAAAATGATAAACAAGATTATTATATTGGGACGGAGGGAGTATAAAAATTTTTTAAAAATTGAATTTGATTTGATATATTTAAAAAGAGAAAATTAGTGAATAGGAATTTTCTTTTTTTTTTAAAAAAAAAAAACTCCAACAAACAAGAACTAGACTAAATTAATACTTTTTTTCTCTTGTAAGATACTATTACATTAAATATTCAATAATATGAACATCATTTGTCCCAAATACCTTTCAATATTTTCGATATGTCGCAAATACTATGCAATATATAAAATATGAAATAATTAAATATGCTCTTTATTCCACGACGCTATTCAACTAAATATTTTTCCTATTTTTTTATTTTTTAATTTTTTATTTTCTCAAAACGCTTATTAAAAAGCCTAATTTATTTAATTTAATTATTATGTGGCTTAGTTTTGCTTGCTTTGGGTTAGGATGACTAAATTATTAGCATTCAATATTGTTTTATTGAAAAATAAAGTGATTAGGATTGGAAGAATCTAATAATGTGTATTCATGAGGCCATTTAAATGAAATAAATTAGTAACAGGAGGCTGAAATTTTGTTATAAGTAGAAAGTGCATGTTCACAATACCTAAATTCAAATAAATAAATTGGTATAACAAATTATATATTTATAATTTAGGTCAAAATTAAAAATATTTTGATATTACTAATGAATTCTTTGAATTGAAACAAAAAAAATATAAGTTTATTTAAACATTGTTGACATAATAATTTAAAAAATTCTAAAAAATATTGACCCAAAGCGATTAAGCATTTGGTATCATCGTATCATTATTCCACTACAACCACAACATCAACTTAGGACCAGCCCTGGATCCAAACGAAAAGAACGCCAGCTCGAAGCCCAGTGGAAGTAGGGAGCTTATTATATATTTATATTATATATGTATAATTTTTATATATATAATTTATTTGTCATATGTAAATATAGAAGATTGTAATTTGGTGGTGTAGATATACATTTTTAATATTGAGGTCTTGAGTTTATAGCATATATGTCCCAAGAATTTGGAAATAATTTTTTATACTAGTTTTCATCTAAAAATTATTTTATTTAATTATTTATATTATTATAAATAAAAACATATTATATATATATATATATTTAGGGTCTTTTTTTTTCCCTAAATTTGTACTTTTCGATCACTTCATATATGAATTACATATATTCTAATATATTATGTTAATTCATTTCCCCTCCGCTTTTATTAATCGTGAAAAGATAAAAAAAGAAAAAATTAGTAAAATTCGGGCGAAGACTCAAATTTGATTTTTATAACATGAAGACTTGAAAATCTTATAAGTTATGAAAGTAAATCCGAAGAAAATAAAAGTACAAAACATGTAAAATGGTGATATTTAAATAATTCCCCAATAAATTGTACTCCCTCCGTAATAATCTATCAATTTTTTTATTTTGGTCCGTCCTATAATAAAATATCTATTTTTTTTAGTAATTGTAATATCTACCTAACATTACAAATACCCTTCAAATTTACAATATATTACACAAATGTGATTACCTTTATATCATACAATACCAATAGGGTTAATTTAGTCATTTTACTTTTATTTCTACTTTATTCCAATATAATACTAATATTTCTAAAACTCCGTGCAAAAAAACAAATGAATATATAGATATGAGACGGAGGAATATAAGATTGAATATACTAAGTTTGTTGCTAGCATCGGGTACTTAGTGTTTTGGTTGGTTAAACTTGGTTACTGTCGAATGTGAGTAGTTTAAATTGCATGATTACTGGTTGAGCGATGGTTTAAGATCGATTAAGAAATCGTCATTGAAATTATATGTCAAGTTTGAATTGAAATCGGTTAAAATGACATTTCTTAATTGCACACGATCCTAAGTTCTCCTGCCTATTGACCGATTCGAGTTTGTTCAATCGTTGCATCTTCTTTTTTTTTTTTCACGCCAAATCGGCTATCAGGGATATTCGGCTCTAGCCTCAGTTTTGTGTTTTAATAATTTGTCATTAAAAAAAAAAAAAAAGAATTCAACTGTCCATTTGTGATTTGGATGGGATAGTCGACGGTTGAAATTGAGTCATACTCCCTATGTCCCAATAAAGATAAAGAGGGTGTTTGAGAAAGAATTTTTTGAAAAATTTTTAGTTTATTCAACAATTTTTAACTGTTTGACCGGTCAAAAACCTAATTTAGGTGTTAATTAGTTTTTTCAAAAGCTTTTTGGACCAAAAATGCTAATTTATGAAAAACTCATTTAACCAGCGTTTTGAAAGAACATTTTTATTTTAATTTTGGTTATTCTTTATTTACCCTTAAAACTTAATTATTTATTTTATACATATAAATATATTTTTATAGCAGTATTTATTAATTATTTTTAATATATTTAATTTATTAAATTATATTTTTATTTTGTAAATTTAAAATAATTACTATTATTAATTATACATATAAATTATTTTATTTGTACAATATAGAAATTTTTAAAACTAAATCAAATAGAAAAAATAAAGGTTATTAATTTATTTATATATTAAAACAATAATTAACATAATAAAAATATATATACGAAAGATGTATTATTTTATATTTTACATAATTTTAATAAAAAAATATTATTTTTTAGTAAAAATAATTTTTTCAAATCTAAATAATAAATAAAAATAAATATTTTATAATTTTCAATAATTAATAACAAAAATTCTCATCAATTTTAAACCAAAATGAACAAAATTAAATATTTTAAAATATAACATATCAATGTCTTTAATAGTCATTTTAGCTAATGTAAAATAGTTGTTTTATTAAACACTTTAATACAAACCGCTAATTGAATGAGCTAGTCAAACCAACTAATTGAATCAGTTAACAACTAATAATTAATTGAATAGCTAACAACTAAAAGCTATCAGCTAATCGCCAAATGCACCTAAAGTCTTTTGTTTTGGCAATGAAATTTAGATAATGAAAATTAGTTATTTAATGATTAATTTAAAATTAAAAATGTGTTTAAAGATTTTTAGTATTATATCTCAATAAAATCTATACTATATGAATATTCTTTTGTAAAAATAAAATTTTATATAATACAAATCATTAAAGATTATATTTATTTATTTATCATTTGCCATAAATTAGTTTTATAAAAAGAAATAGGGAGTTTTAGAGGTAAATAAAAATATTTGTTAATTGAGAAGAGATATAGAAATAACGGGTTTTTGAATGAGTGATATGCGTAAGATGTTAGAAATTTAATTAAATTAATTTATATTTGTTAAGTTGTTTAAGACTGATAAATTTATATATAAAAAAAAGATCATCTTTTTTGGAACGGATAAAATTAAAAAGAAAAATGGATCATATATGACGAAATAAGTGAAGTATTATTTTTCGAGGAATAAAAAAAAATTAATTTATATTTGTTAATTGCTGCCGCTCAACCATCTTTAAGTTTGGGTCTTCGTCTTCAATATGCTTTTTGAGCCATTTGAGATTGGAATAGCCTTAAATTTGTCAGAATCGTCGAAATTTCACCCCATTCTTGACCTCCTATGTAGTTTCCCTTCGAATCAAGAATGTTACGGCATAGAGGCATTCGACCCATACCGTGTGTCTCTTCTATGTTTATGGATGAAGTTGACAGAGCTGAAGTCATGTATCAATGAAGGTCGGAATTTGGCTATCAATACTACCAAATTTAATGTTGAATGTCTGTGTGATGACATAAAAACACGACCCGTAAATATGAAAGAGTACAAGGAATTGTACAATCAATCTAGTGTCGTGAAGATTTGAAAAGCAATGGAAATGTCAAGGGCTTGATAAGGCGATTCTATTCTCCACTCATTCCTCCGTATACAAGAGTATATTTTGATAGCCATGACGGTTAATCTCCTCACAATAAGTGCTTCTGTTAATCCCGAACAATGCCTTCTTGTTGCTTTTTGACACTCTGACCCGTAAACTATATAAAGTCAGACGTATCGGGATCATAGACTGACCCTGCAGGTTAACACAAGTCATTACAGCGTGTTTCTGTCTTCACTCGCGTTTCGAATTTTGTGTTTTGTATTTTTGCATTATTTAGAAGTATATTTTTTATTTAAATGTCATATTCATTACTTTTTTTAAAAAATTTATTTTTCACTATTTTCAATTGGTTAGATATATTTTAAAAATTTATTTAGTATTTTAGTATATAGAACTAGTTAATATAATGTTACCAATACAAAATAGATATTAAATGAATATTTTTTAAAAAAATAAAAAAATTATAACTAAAGTATAGTAAAAAGTAAGAGAGCATAACAAGTAGAATGATAATTTATTTGATTTAATTTAATTGATTAATTAACCTAATTAACAGAACGTAATAATTTTATATATTCAATAATCAATAAATTAATAAATGCGTGTGCGTGTATGGTGTGTTTGTGGGAGGCAAAACGACACCGTATGAGGCTAGCTCAAGCAAAGACGAAGCGCAGAAGCCGTGTCGGCTCGGCTCGGGTCGTTCGTCTTCCTCCATATATAAAGGGTCTGGTGAGTCGGTCAGTCCAAGCAGCTGGTGGGATTTATTAGACCGGAAGCCGAACCGGCGGCGTTGGAGCAGGACGCCCGAGCCGGCCGGTTCATGTAGCTCAGGTTGACATTCTCCATCTCTATCCCCTCGCATGGATTCGCCTTGCTGCAGTCGAATTTCACCGCCACTTCGCTCGCCGAAGTCCCCCTTATATCCTCGTACCTCACGTCGCTGATCTTCACTCCCGACACCTGTCGATTTATAATTTAATAATAATAATTGATAATTAATTAATTAATTAAGGAAGTGTCGTCGTCGTCGTCGTCTTCCTCGTCGATGATTGGAATTAAACCCTAGGTACCTGACCGGGGCAGTTTCTGTTATCCGGGCAGTAGTTCTGGTCAATTACGATGGGGTAACGGACGTCGGACATGGTGGCGTGGTGGAAAACCACTCCTCGTACGAAACCTCGGCTCGGTCTTCCCCATGTCTTGATTCTCACCCCATTCTGCGTTTCCTTAAACGCCACGTTCTCAACTGTAATGTTCTGAACTCCGGGTTCTTCGTAGCTCTTACCCAAGCTTCCGATGCTGCAATTTAATTTAATTTAATTAATTTCACGGCGGCCGGAGATGGGGAATTAATTAATTAGGGTTTTTTTTTTTGACGGATTCCGACCTGATGCCGTGGCCGGGGCCGCAGGCGACGTTGTGGATAAAGAGACGGTCGGTGCCGGGGCCGATGGAGATACAGTCGTCACCGGTGCCGATTCGAGTGTTGAAAATGGACACGTCGCCGGAGAGCTGGACGTGGATTCCGTCTGTGTTTGGGCTGTCGCCGGCGGCCTCGACGGAGATTCCCCGGAGGCGGACGCCGTCGCTGCTGTGGATCACTATGTGGAACATTTGGCTGTTTAATGACGTCACGCCGGCGATCATTACATTCTTCGACTTCGTCACCCCCAAATTCTTCAAAAAAAATGAAAATGTAATAATTAATCGAGCAGTAACCGCAGCAGTTACTAAAAACTAAACCCTAGACCTAAAACCGCCATGACTGAATCCCCAAATTAAATCGAGCTAATTAATCATCAGGTCCGTACCGTAGCGCCGGAGGGGCAATTCCGGCGAGTTTTCTTACAGTCCCAGAGGGCGGCGCCGCGGCCGTCGATGGTGCCGCCGAGAACGGACAGGCCGTCGAGTCCTTCGAAGTGGAGCCAGGTGCCTTTATCTCCGATGGCATTGTAGTCGGCGGGGGCGAGGAGGGTGCCGAAGATTCGGACAGCCATGGCAGGGTTCCGGCAAGGACCTTGCAATAGAACATTCCGGAGAAGGAATCTTCCAGGTGGGACGAAGACAGTGGAGGGCATGGCGGAGGCGCAGGCTAGCGACCAAGCCTCGAGGAGAGCTGCGGAGGAGTCGGTTATGGCGTCGGGCCGGGCTCCAAAGTGCATAATATTGAAAACGTTGGCTGAAGATTGTGCCAAAAAGACGACGATTAGGGTTAGTGGGAGAATTAGGGTTGCGAGATTAGGCATAACTGCAGGGAATTGGAGGGAGGGAACTGTAGAGAGTTGCCGGAGTGGGGGAGGGAGTTACAGTGGGGGATGCTTATATGGATGCATATATATGTATATATATGTATGTATATATAATATATATATATATATAGAGAGAGAGAGAGAGAGAGAGAGGGGATGTAATTAATGCAGACAGAAAGTGAAAGAGGAAATGGAAAGGCAAGGAAATAAAGGGAATGGTGGGAACCATATTTAGGCAAGAACGAAGGTTTTGCAGATGTCATAAACTTAACAGAAAACGTACTTTGCTTCCGACATGATAACGCGGCAGTTATAAACTATAAAAATATATATTTCTTCCGTCTCAAATGTTCGACACAAGAATTTAGGTGATTAAGTAATGTGATTTGAGAGTGAAATAATTATTTATTTTTTATTTTATTTGACTAATATGATGAGATAAATATAAAAATATAATTAATTGTTTCTAAATTTAAAAATATTGCAGTGAGTTTGAAATAAATAACAAAAGAAATATTGCAAAAGTGTTTGAAACGGAGGGAGTTCTATCCTCGTCTGGGAAGAAGAGCAATATTTATTTTTTTATATAGATTTGTTAATATTAGTATTATATTGATGTATAGTAAAAAAGACAAAATATCCGCCATTAGATTCTGTGATATTAAAGTAATATTTGTATAATATATTATAAGTTGTAAGGGTATTAATTATGTTAGGTATGTAGTATAATTACTAAATTAGAAAATTGTATCTTTGTTTTGGAACGAACTAAAATGAAAAATTGTATTATTCTTATGGGATTGAGGGAATATATATATATAGATGGTGTTACTGCATTAAATGTAGTATTATTTATATTAATATACTCCATTGTATCTATGTTCACTTTTCTTTTTGGATTGTTATAAAAAAAAAATATTCTCGTTTTTTTTTCTAAGTAAAAAATTATTACACTTTATATTTTTTTTACTATTAAAGAAAATAATAACAATTATTATTCACTTTTATTAAAACTCGTGTTCGGTCAAATGAGCACACATGTAAATGACGGATAAAGTATAATATAAATACAATACAAAAACTAAAAACAAATGATATATTCATGTACTCCTTCAGTCTCAACTATCATGTCTGCTTTATCGTAATCACAGGAATTTATTATTGGTATAATTAGTAAATAATTAAAAATATATTAGTGAAAATAATTATAATATAATAAAAATAATTATAAATTAAGATAATTAATTAGTTTAATTAAAATTTAAAAATAATTATAAATTCAAAATTTAAAATAAAATTAAAGTGTATAATTTTTTTTTAAAAAAATTAAAAAAAAATAGCGACAAAAAAAACTTTAAATGTAAACAAATAGGAACAAGTGTCTTTTAGACTTTTAATTTGTACTTCTTAGAGAAATTATCAACAACGAATATAAATATTACTTTTTTTTTTTTTTTTCGTTTCAATTCAATATATAATAATTCAATACAAATACGAACGTAAAGAGATTAAAATGATAATGAATTTAATACACATGACTAAAAATGTATTCGTCCCTTTAATGATCAATATATTGATTATAATTATTCAACACAAATTGTTCGGTTAGAAGATGAATGAAGGACTATAATTCTAAATAGGTTTATATAATCACTACTAGAAAAAAAGGTTGATAATTGCGAAAATTTGTCGCAAATTTTAATTCATGACAATTAAAAGTCACGGAAAGTAATTTCGTAAAAAATTTATGTCACAACTTTTTGTTTTGACTATTCCGTAAGTAATATTTGCAGAAAAAGTTACAAATAATTTTCCGTGACTATTTAAAGTAGCGGCTTATGTAACGAAAATGTCCAAGATGTTTCTATTTCGTGTCTTTTGACTATTTTGTCATAAAAATTGTTACGAAATTTTTTCTTAACTATTTTAAGTTGCGGCAAAAATAACCAAAATATTTACAACATTTTAAATTATTACAGATATTGTCATAATATAATTTTCGTGACTTTTTAAAATCAAATGTCACAACATAAGTAACGAAAATAACTATAAAGTTTTTTTTTATTATTGTTCGTAGTTATTCAAAGTAATAAAAAAAATAATCAAATCATCTTCAATATCTTTATTCAATATCGTTCGTAGCTATTTAATTTTTTGTTAAAAATTCATAATGATATATTAAATAAATATGTATATATTTTTAAAAGATAAATTTATAATCAATAATATTTATATAGTTAAAATATAATAACAAATAAAAAGTAATACTTTAGAGTAGATAGCTAATATGACATGACAAAGTCGTTTAAGTCTTTAATAACTATAATGTCGCTAGTTTATTCACGAAATTTTGTTGCAGCTTCTGTTGCTATATAAAGTCGCGGACATGACATGGTATTATTCAATAACTTATTGTCACAGAAATGTCACCACTTAAAAAAAGTCACCAGCAAAATTCTACGGAAATGGTTCCGTATATTTTTCCGTGATTTTTTAGTAAAAAGTCACCAATTTATATTAAAATCGTAATTTTTTTTACCGCAACTATAGCCTAATTTTCTAGCAGTGAATCATGCCTACTCGATATTAATTGGCATGTGTGTATACATATATATATATATATAAAGTTTGAATTTAAAATAAATTAATTCATGGGCAATTTGAAAAGATTATAAGTTGTCTAAAACGATTGTTAGATTAATATTGAAATATTATAAGTTGTCGCGGAATTAACACTATTATAGAGATTTTATTCCATGTAATAAACAAATTTCATAGTCTAATATAAGAAATATTTCAAAATTTGAAAAAATAGATTTTATAATATGACTAAATAATATACTACACTATTATATGTCTATAGTAGCCAATTTTTAATGCCTAAAAATGATCGTATATCACTTTTTTTTTTTTTTTTTTTTATTATTACTATTATAATGTTGTATTAAAATTATTATATAATTGAATTAATATATCGAATAATGGTTTCAATTCAAATATTACTATTTATAACTAAATAAAATAACACCTAAACACATGCAATTGCAAGACAAGATATTAAGGGTGTGTTTGTTCGGGGGTTTAGATTTTGAATTGAGATTTGAATAGTAAAAAATTTGAATCTGAATAGTTGTATGATGTGAGATAAAAAGGTGTTGATGTAATATTTTGAATGTAAATTTGGTTTTTAATATAATAGTATAAAAATGAAAAATAAGTGTTTGATTTAATATTTTTTTAGGGAAAAAATTGGATGAATAGGGAATTTAAAATCCAATCCCCAACAAACACACCCTAAGTATAAAAGTTGGGAATGTATGAAATAAAAACAGTAGATGAGATTAATTATAAATATTGGTGAATAAGAATTAATGTATATATATATTTATAATTGTGATGCGAATTCATAATTATTTTTATTTTGAATATTTATTTATTTTGAGAAGATAAAAAGATTGTCATATTGGAAGTTGGATTATTTTGAAACAAATTGATGAGTGATTAATATTGGGATTGTCAATATATATATATTTTTTTAAAATAACAATAAAGCTAAATGCAACACCAAAAAAAAAAAAAGAAAAAAAAAACCCATCTTTTTGGTATTTATAATGATAAGTGTTGCAAAAAAAAAAATATAGAAATAAGTGTTATCGATTCAATAAAAATTTGAAATTGAATTCTCATTAGGTATAATAATTAGTAAGAATATGTGATAAATAAAACACTTAGGGACTGTTTGGCAAATAGCTTTTTGAAGAGCATTTAACTTATTGAAGAACTTTTAGTTATTTGATCAGTCAAAAAATTAATTTAGGTGTTTGATAAATTAGCTTTTTGGAATAGCTTTTTGGACCCAAAAAGCTAATTTTTGAAAAGCTAACTTACCCAACGTTTTGAAATAGCTTTTTCTGTAAAAAAAAATAATAATAATAAAATTATTCCTTAGATGCCATTAAAAATTTATTATGCATTTTCCACAAATAAATATATTTTGATTATTTATTAATTATATTAGAATATTTTATTATATTATAATTTTACTTTTATAAATTTAAAATAATTAATTTTTATATAAAAATTATTTTAATTATAAAATATATAAATTTATTAAAATCAACATAAAAATAGAAAGTATAAATATTAATAATTTATTTTTATATTTAAATTACATTATATAAATTTTATACTAAAAATAAATTAAATAAATTAAATTTATTGAAAATTATAAATATAATGAATTAATCAATAACTAACATAATAAATATATACACGAAAAATTTATTATTTTATATTTTACATCATTTTCAATAAAAAAACTATTTATATATTTTAATAAATATATATTATTTTTTAAATCTAACTGTAATAAAAATAAATATTTTTATAACTCTTTTACAATTTTCAATAACTAATAACAAACAATTTCAAACATTCTAAACTCAAAAGAACATAATTGAATATATTAGAAACAAAAATAAAATAGAAATATCCTCAATTGTCATTTGTTTTACCAAATATTTTAATACAAACAGCTAATCGAATCAGCCAGTCAAACCAGCTAATTGAATCAGCTAACAGCTATCATCTAATTGCCAAACACGCCCTTAAACAGAGAAAAAATTAATTTTGATCTCAATATAATTAAAATTTATCAATTTTTATCTCAGTATAAAAAAAAAACTCAACAATCTTAATCTCATTATAAACAATTTTAATCATTTTGGTCATTCCATTAAAAAACTAACGGAAATGGCTGACGTTGACGTAACGGGGTTGATGTGGCCGCTGACCTATAAGTACATGCGGTCATATAAAATTATACACGAGCATGCTGTCATACGGCTATGTATATTTCAGTGTACAACTATACACGGTCATATAGAATTCTACAGAGCCGTGTACCTTTCTGTTTTAGTATAAAATTTTATTTTTTTGTTATACTTTTTAAAAAAAATATTTTGAATTTAGAATAATTGATATAGTTAAAATGAAAAAAATCAATAGTAATCCGAATATAATTAAAATGTATCAATTTTAATTCAAATATAAAAATTTATAAGATATGTTTTTATGAAAGAATTTGTCTAAAATTCTACTAGTTATAAAAAAAAATTCTCTTAAAAAAA